GCATCACTGGTCTTTGGGAAATTGGGAATCAAAACCACAGTGAGCTACCACTTCACAACCATTAGAGTGGCTCTTATTTCTCTCTCTCTCTCTCTCTCTCTCTCTCTCTCACACACACACACACACACACATGCACAAACAGAAAACAAGTGTTGGCAAGGATGTGGAGTAATTTGAACCTTCATACATTAGTGGTGGGAATGTAAAGTGGTTCAGCAGCTGTGAAAAACAGTTCGGTGATTCCTCGGAAAAGCTAAACAAGGAATTACCACCTGATCTAGCAATTTTATCGCTAGGTACATACCCCAGAGCCCTGAACACACGGACTCACCCAGATGCTTGTACACCAACGTCCGTAGCAGTGTTACTCATAATAAGCCCAAACTCAAATGTCCACCAGCAGATGAATGGAGAAACCAAATGTAGTACATACACACAATGGAATATCATTTAACCTTAAAAACCAATGGCATTCTGGGACATGCTATATAGCATGGATGAACTTTGAAAACTTCGGGTTAAATGTAATAAGCTAGACACGAAAGGACAAATGTTATATGCTTCCATGTGTATGAGATACATAGAGTTTATGGAAACAGCAGAACACAGGTGATCAGGGGCTGGGCCGTGGGAGGGAGGCAACGAGGGAGTTACTGTGTCCTGGGCATGGAGTATCAGTTTGGTACAACGAAACGGTTCTGAAAGTGGACAGTGGTAATGGCTGAACAACAGTGTGTGAATGTACTTAATGCCACCTAGCTGCACCCCTAAAAAGTGGTTCAAATAGCAATTTTTAGGTTATTTGTATTTCAACACAATGAAAATGTTACACAATTCATGTTACAGAAATCGCTTCACATCCCAGTAGTCGCTCTCACCGATACAGTGTTCACTGTGTTGCAGGTATTTTTCTAAGCAATTCATTTATTGAAACCTCAAAACAACTTGGTAAGGTAGTAGTGATGTTATCAACACTATTTTACAGACGAGGGAATAATTGAGGTACAGAGAAGTTAAGTAACTTTGTCCAAGGTCATATTGCTTATCAATAAATGGTGGAGCTGAGATTCTAGCCCAGGCATTCTGCCTGCACATACAGTGCCTCTAGCCACTATACTGTATTCACGTAAGTGTATAGAGGGATCTGGAAGAAAATACATTTCTGGAGAAGCAAGTGTGACAGGTTTGGGTTGTCCAAGGGACACCGCATTTTAAATTTTTGCAAGGACAAAAAAATTTATGAATTATTGTATAATTAAAAATAATTAAGCCCTGCCTGGTGTGGCTGAGTGGATTGAGCACCAGCCTGTGAACCAAAGGGTGGCCGGCTCCAGTACCAGTCAGGGCACATCCTGGGCTGCAGGCCAGGTCCCCAGTAGGGGGCCTGTGAGAGGCAACCACACGTTGACGTTTCCCTCTCTCTCTCTCTCCCTTCCCCTCTGTCTAGAAATAAAATGAATAAAATCTTAAAAAAAAAAGACATATTGTAGACCGCTCATAGCAGTACTATCCATTATTACTAAAATGTGGTAACTACACAGATGCTCACCAAGAGCAAAATCAGTAGATACATTGCGGTATTAACACAGTAGAATACTTACTACACAGCACTGAGAATCAATGATCTACGTCCACACACAGTAACGTGGATGAATCTAGCAAACAGTGTTGATCAAAAGAGGCCACTTAGTATACAGTTGCATTTATATAAAGTATAAAAACAGTCGAAACGAACCTACGGCCGTAGAAATCAGAACAGTAGTTCTTGTTTGGGGGAGGGGAGTGACTGAAAGGGGACACCAGAGCAGGGGCGCTCCTGAGACATTGGTCGTACTGTTTCTTGACCTGGGTGCTGGTTACAGGCATATGTTCTCTTTGTGTACACTTGTGATGATTTGTGCACTTCTCGGTATGCGTGTTATATTTCAATTTTTTAATTTCAAGTTCAAGTTCAGAGAAATTGAGAGGTTCGTCATCCATTCTCCCATCGGATATTCCGTGCGTGCCCACGACGTGTCAAGCACCAGTTGTCAGACTCCGGAGTGAATAATTCAGTGAATCCAAGCCTTCCCGCCTCCTGTTCCTTTCTCGTGATTGGCTGACCTTCTGGCCAATGGGGGAAGAGGTACCGCTCTCCAACTTCTCCCAGGGTACCAGCGAGCTGTAGCTTCCTCAGATGGATTGTAGGCGGCGCTGTGAACACACCTATGCCTCGGTCAATCGCAGACTTGGTCCCCACCCTCTCTGATTCTTTCTCTCTTCCTTCCTTCCTTTAAAAAAAAAAATAATAATTTATTGATCTGAGAGAGAGACAGCAAGGAGAGAAACATCAACTCCTTGTATGTGCCCTGACCAGGAACGAACCCGCGACCCTGATGTATCTGTCCGATGCTCCAACCAACAGAGCTACCCCAGGTCTCTGATTCTTCTGATCCTGAGAAATGGAGAGAAAATATACTCCAGCACCCCCGCCCTCTTTTCAAAATTCTCCTGTGGGTTTTTCTGCCTGTGCATCCCTCCCATGCACGTCAGGAGTCCCAGGTCCTTCCTCGTACCTATTCTGCCTCTCGGATTGGTGTGACTCCCTGTTGCAGTCACCAGGGCCTCCAGGGCAGTGCTTAGGAAATCTTGGCAGTCGGCACTTCTGTCGGATAATTGTTTACTCGGTTGTTTATTTATTCTGGACTAGAGGCTAGTGGGGTGCGCGGGGGCGGCTGCCCCCAGGGAAGCCTGCTTCCTGTGGTTGTCTTGCTCAGCTGACACCTGCCCTTATGTGCACTGGAAAGAACTGCAGAGCTGGGAGGATCTTTGTCCCGTTCAGGGAAACCCTGCCTGAGCCCATGCCTTGTGCCTGGACCTGTACTGGGGACGTTAATAGTGACTGCGGGTCCCAGCCCTGTCCTCATGGGGCTCACAATCTGGTGGGAAAGAAAGACCCATCACTAGAGAGGGACAACCCAGGGTGGTCAGGGCTTAGATGGAAGACTCAAAGGGGCTGTGTATGGGAGCCTAGATAGGGAGCCCGACCTAGCCTGTCAGATCAGGAAGGTCCTCCTGGAGGAGGGGACATCTGAGCTAACATCTGAAAGAAGAGTAGGAGTTAGTCATTGGACAAGGGCTGTGTCTTTTTTGGATACCACGCTTGCCCCCATTGCTTGCCATTATCCCCTTTATTTAGCATTGGATTCATTCATTAACAAATATTTATTGTGGGTCATTTGCCAGACTGAGGACTAGCCAGAGTTCCTGACTTCAATTGGCTCACATATAAAATGGTGATACAATATAGAACTTCAAACTCTGATGGAGTGCTATGAAGAACAAAGACTGTCCTCTTTCCAATTGCTTGGGTTTGAATCGCAAATTCACCACTTACTATCTGTGTAACCTCTCTGTGCCATCGTTTAGTAGAATAACAACGATAACCTACTCAAAAGTGTTGTGAAGGAGCAAGCGAGTTGTTTAAAGTGCTTCAAATGTTGCCTAACATAAAGTGCCCATTTTGATCAAAGAATGAAGGGTCAGTACAAACCCAGGAGGTCATCCTGAGGAGGTGACTTCAAGCTGAGACTTGAAGGATAAGGTGGAGTTGATGGACTTCAAAAAAAGGGAGGGGACATCTGGGTTCACTGAGTGAGCCCAGCCTTGTCTCTTCTCAAGGTGCTGTCACTTCACAAATTTCCCAAGGTTGGAAGGACATGGAACACTGATTGGTGTTATAAAGACATTAACTGTGGGTAGGAGACTTCGCTGTCCCCTCCCTCCAGTCTCTGGTGTTTCCCCAGGTAACTGCAAAGTCACTTACAAAACAGGGTTTGTGGTGGCAGCCTAGAGAAAATCTAGCCCATGTACTTGTTTGGTTCCCAGAGTTTATTTATTTATTTATTTTTAAAAGATTATTAATTTTTTTTAGAGAGGGAAAGGAGGGAGAAAGAAAGAAAGGGAGAGAAACATCAATGTGTGGTTGCCTCCTGCACACCTCACGCTGGAGATGGGGCCTGCAACCCAGCCATGTGCCCTGACTGGGAATCCAACTAGAGACCCTCTGATCCACAGCCGCGATTCTGAGCCCAAGGCATGGGCTCAGGCAGGTTTTCCCTGAACGGGACAAATCATCAATCCACTGAGCCACACCAGCCAGGGCAGGTTCCCAGAGTTTAAAACAAACTTTTAAAAAGTCACTAACATCTAAAAATCAGATTTCATACACTCGTAAGTGCTAAATTAAAAAAGAAAAAGGTCATGGAAACAACTGTGATCAGTAATCAGAACATTTTTATTTAATGGGAGGTTTTAAAACTTGAACGCATGTAATTGTATCATTGCTTATAGCGTTATGGGATGATTTCGGCGCTTTACACATATAACTCATTTAATTCTCGCAGCACCTCTACCAGGAAGATAAGATGATTATTCCATTTTATAGATGAAGAGACTGGCTTCCGGAGGGGTCCGAGGAACCCATCCTCACTTCAGAGGAACTCAGGTGTTACAGCGGGTAACTTTCCATAACTATTTCCCCCTCCAGTCGCCCAAACTGACACTTGCAGTCATTCGTATAATGCTGACTTGGAGGCCAGGGAGCCATCAGGACTCGGCCCTCGCCCCTCTCCCGGGTTTCTGGCGACCACAGCAACCGGACGAAGCGCGTTGTGTGTAGATTTCCTTCACTGCCAGGGCAAAGAGCACGCGCTCCCCAGCCCCGCCCCTTCTTCGGCACTGACGAATTGTGAGGCTCGGACTGGGCTGAGGCGGGCATCGCGTCCCCGGGTTCCCCAGTCAACTTCCTTGCGGGGTGCACTCCCTCCTTCTAAGTCCCTCCCCACCGCCCCACGTTACGTCTTTCCCTCTCTCCTCCTCCGTTATCCCGGGGGCTGCAGCTCGCGCGGCAAACCCACCTTCCCTGGCCTCCCATTGGCTAGTCAGGTCCCGCGCGAGAGGAATCGCGCCCCTAGCCCCCGCCCCTGCAGAACGGGCCTCTCCGCTCTGGCTTTCTCTACGAGCCGGAGCGTGGCAGGGCACAGACTGCTTCGGACGCGCGCGCCTCCGGCCTGCCACTCCCTCGCCTCGTGCTGGTAGCTGCTGCGGCTGGCAGCACTCGCCGCGCATGCGCACTTGCCCACCCCACGCTGCCCGGTCGCGGGTCGCTTCCAGCTCCAACTCGCGCCGCATTCACTGCAGTAGTGGCATTTTCTTGGGGCGCACGCGCACTGCGCCCTCCCCGGCCGTTCCCAACCACACGCCGCGACGGTGACAGTGAGTCCCTGAGGCACGCGCGCGCGCTCTCGCTTCTCACCCTACTTCGCGCCGGCTGTCCCCTCGCTGCGCGCGCCCAGGGGCCGTTATCCTGCAACGGTCCCAGTGCCACGCACGCGCAGTAGTGAGGGGGCGCGCGCGAGGGAGCGGCGGCCGCAGGAAAGGGGCGCAGCCGCCGCCATTGCGAAGGAGGGAGGGAGCGAGCGAGGGAGCGAGGCTGGTCCGCCCTCCCCTGGTTCCCGCCCCTCCCCCTTCCCCTCCCCGCCCCCCCGGCCCCGAGGGAGAGCCGCGGCGCGGCGGGAGGAGGAGGTGGAGGAGGCGGAGGAGGGAGTCCGCGAGGGAGGGTCCACCCGGCCCCCCGCCGCCGGAGCCGCCGCCACCGCCTCAGCCGCCGCTAGACCAGGAGCAGCAGAACATGGCGCCGGGGCCGCCGTCTCCGCTGCCGGGATCCCGGAGGCCGGGGCCGCGTTGAGGGCGCCCAGCTGGTGAGTGCGCGAGCTCCCGGGCCCCGGCGCCGCCCCGCTGCGGGGTCCTGGGGGAGGCGGAGACCGCGGGGCCCGGAGCCCGCGAACAATGGAGGAGCCGGAGGGGGAGGGGAGGGAGCGGCCCCCCAGCCCCCCGGGCCCAGTCGGCCCCGCAGCTTCCTACTGCGGCCCGGCTCGCGGGGCCCGCCGGCCCTTCGGAGATGCCCCTAATTGCCCCGACCCTGCTGTCTCCGCTTCTGCCCCCACCCTCCGATTGGGATCTCGGTATCCGCTTCGTCCACCCCTGCACTTCAGCCACTCCGGTCCCAATTCTGCGCCCCCCTTCCTTCTTCGCCCCTCCTTGCCTCTGCAGTGCTCATGGGACCCAGTACCTCAGTGACCCTTCTGCATCCCTTAATGCTGGATCCCCACTTTGAGATTCCTGACCCTTCTGCCTCCTCTCCGATTCCGCTCTTAGCCCTCTTTGGATCTGGCCTCTTTTTTGACCCATCTACTCTTACTCCTCCTTTCAGAATCTTGCATCCTCAGGAGCTGTCCCTCTAGGACCCGCGATTCCACCTCCTTAGAGAGTCTTCTGAGACCCCGTTAGTCTCGCCCTGCTGACCCAGGTCTTCTCCTTGGACTTAATTTCACCTCTGTCTTGGGCCCTGCTGCCCACTGCACAGCACCTGCTGCATCCTAGGGGTGCCCCTGGGCTCCCTGACCCTTCCATACATACCGTGGTTCTGCCACCTGCTCCCTCATGCTGTCTTCTCCCCTTCTCAGGTCTTGCTTCTCTTTGCCATTCAGACCCGTTCCTCTCTTCCAGGCTTTTCTGCCTGCCAGCTCTGTCCCCTGCCTGATCTCAGTTCTTGCTGTGCCCCCTAACCTGCTTGCTTTCCGACTCTGCCTTTTTTGAAGCAGCCTCCTCCGGGTCTCTGACCCTGCGGGTCTCTCATTTCTGCCATTCGCTTCTCCGCTGTCTTTCCCTCTGCAGTCTCGGTGCTGCCCTGAGGACTCGGTCTGCCCCCAGCGTTCTTCAGGTTTTCTCTCCCCACCTCCTTATTGGCACTTTTGAGCCATTCCCTTCATTCGCTCCTCTTTTCTTTGACCTGTCTCCCCTTCAGTTCTCCGCTTTAGACCTCTTTCTAGCCCCTTCGCTCCAAGTCCTCTTGTCTCCATTTTGGCCCTTCTTGGATTTGCCCTTTACCTCATTAAAGCATCAATAACTTCTCTCTGACCCATCACCCCCTTTCCTTCCCATTCCTCATCTCACAGACCTCCCCCCAAATCCTCTTTGCATCTGCTCTTTCATGTGTTCCTTTCTGTCTTCTATTTCATGTCTTCCAGCTCTGTCCCTTTGGAGCTGTCCACTTGCTCACCTATTTTTTTGGACTCATTTCAACTTTTTCTGCTGCTGTTCTGTCTCAGAGTGGTCCTCTTTAACCCTGGTCTTCTTGGAACTGCCTCTCACCTCTGTTGCCTCTCAGCTCTAAGATTACTGCCTGACCTTCTCTCTCTCCACTGTTGTGATTCATCTCTCAGCCTGCTCTCTCTTCTTTCTTATGTTCGTCCTTTCCACTTTGCCCTGTCTTGTACCTCTTTTTTGAGTCCTCTTTCCCCCAATTCTGCCCATTATTAGAGATGCTTTCTCAACCATTCCTTCCTACCATCGCCTGCCTCCCTACCCCAAATCCCCCTCTTAGAGCCTCCCGAGTTCTTGGGTGGATTCTTTTCTCCCTTTTGAAACACCTCCCCCACTTCTGTTCCTCATTGACTTCTTTTCTCTCTCCTCTTTTCTTTCCCCTTGTATCCTGCCAGGCTCTTTCTCTTCCCATTTACTTTCTATCAGACTTGCTTCTCCAAGCTCCCCTGCCTTGACCCGCCCCTTCCTTACTGAGTGCTCCCCCTCTTCAGGCAGGCCTTCCTCTAGTTTCCATCCTCTCAACTTTGGGGAGGAAGGGGCAGGGTTGGGCCTAGGGTTTTCTAGGCTCTGATTTAGACCGCGGATTCCCTAGGCTCCCTGATCCTGAGGGTTTTATCCTGAGGGATCCTGTGAGAGCTGGGTGTATAGGTGGGGGCTGGTTGATTGGTTACTGCCCTCTGGAGTCTGGGAGTGTTGCCCCACCATCTCCCCATCCCCTTTTACCATGTTAGTGGTGCAGGGGTAGATCTCTTTCCACTGCTGCATTTTCTTTTCCTCTCCCATTTTGCTCCCTAGCCCCTTCAGTTCCCTGGGCATTGATGCTTTGTGTCCTTCAGAAGAGAGTGCAGCTGCTCACAGGTCTTGCTTCTCTTCTCCCTTTCCCTCCTCTCTTCTCTGATCTATTGTAAAGAGACAGTTGTACCCTTTCCCTCTTCTACCTCCAAGCCAGCACTCCTTGGGAGGATTTAGGAGTATGCTTTTTTGTTTTGTTTTGTTTCCAATTGACAAGTAATATTTTTGTTTTACCCTTGGCTAGGGAATAGCCAGTTCTCAAGTTCTCCCCAATTTTACCGGGCATTATGGACACACTTGGTGTTTTACTGCTCTGGATTTGTAGGGGAGTCTTGCCTGTTCCCTGATTGCCTCTGATTTGCAGTGTAACCTTTGGGAAGGGTGGGGGAAGGTGGGCTTATTTCTTTTTCACTTCTGCCCCAGGAAGGCTCCAGCTTCCTGGTCTTCAAAATAGTGAAGGCCTGACTTTGGAAAGCTGTTTGCGGTTGTTTGTTGAAAGAGAGAGTGCCAAGTGTCGCTCATTTCTGCCCTCAGGTATTGCGGGCGCTCCCACCCACAGGAGCTGAGTTCCTCCGTGCAGGTCCATGCTGGATTGCGGGGAAGGGGGCTCACTGGTGTACAAGGGTTTGTGTGGGTGGGCTCTGACGTTCCCCAAGAGTTGAGTGATCTGGTTTGATAGGATGAGAAACAGGTGCCAGGAACTGGCTGATTTGATTGGATTTTGGTCTTATTACCCGGGAAATGTACCTTCGCTACCTTTCCTTCAGCTGTTTTCTTCAGTGGTCTTACATTGAGGTGGGGTTTAGGAAATTAATACAGAGGAAGAGGTGGTTTTTACAGAAAACCCTTCCGACCATTTTCCTTCTTTAATTTAGGAGAGGGAACCCTTTGCATGTTCTAGGCTTATTTATTTTATTTCTTAAGTAAATCAAAAGCCTGATTTTCCCCCCTAGGAATTGGCCTAGGGCAGTTGCATATTAAAGTATTCATCCAGCTGTGAAGGAGCATTTACTGGAAGGACTTTTATTTCTTAACTGAGCTATGATCAAATTTTATTTACTTCAGCACTTATTTAAAAATAGTTCAATGTGAACACATTAGAGGGGAAAAAAAAATCCCTGGCTGGTGTAGTTCAGTGGATTGAGCACTGGCCTGCAAACCAAAGGGTCACCAGTTCGATTCCTAGTCAGGGCACATACCTGAGTTGCAGGCCAGGTCCCCAGATGGGGGTGGGTGAGAGGCAACCACACATTGATGTTTCTCTCCCTCTCTTTCTCCTTCCCTTCCCCTCTCTCTAAAAATGAATAAATAAAATCTTGAAGACAAATACATTTATTGGCATCTACAGAATTGGACCACTGACTGAAAACATGTTAGGGCATTTGTATGTAAGACAATGAGCAGGGCTGGATAGTAGATCCATGTGGCTCTTTTAGCTTCTAACTTCTTAGAACTTTGCATTTTCTGACAAGCAGAGGCTGGTAATTCTGATTATGTATGTCATGTGTCTTCACCATTGTTGACTTAATGAATTTTGATTCATTTCTGCTGGTTTCTGTTCATATCTGAATTTCGGCCTTGTGAATTGTGATTAATTCCCTGAATTTTAGAATTCATGCCCCCCATGCTGGTATAAAGTTTTTTTTTTAAGTTCTTAATGTGAAAGTGACAGCTAATTAGGAATAAAAATAACCGTATGCAGTACCACTTAAATCTGTGTTCCAGAGTTTTAACATCGCTGGAAGGATAGAAAGTTTCTGCGTGTCCTAAGTTTACATTAAAGGGAGAGAGGAGACAGAAGAACAAAGAGCGAGTTTTTCTCCCTACCTGGTATCGGGTGGTCCAAAGATGTAGGATTTCTCTGGTGGTAGTAGAGACTCTAACCCCAGTACCAACACTTGCTTTGGTGATAGAATTGGGGGCTACAGAAAATTCGAGGTGGTAGCCTTGACCTTCCCTAACAGTGAATGTGCCCGTTGCAGGGTTGGAGTGTGGAGCAGGAGATAGTGGTGATAGGTGACTTTTTTTTTTTTTTTTTTTACCCTTTCTTTATGGCTGTGACCCTCCCTTCCATCGCCTCTTTTCTCCTTGGCATGATACATTTAGGACAATAAGAAATAAATTTGTTCCTTTTCACCCTTGACGATGGAAGGAGCTGTCCAAGTGTGGATCCATGGGCTTGATGTTGGCCCTTGGCAGGTGACAGTCTGGAAAGAGTAAGGGTTGCACAAAGGACCATAAACCACAGCGTTGCAGGTATTTGGTCAATCTGTACGTGTTTGGAAAACATACCAGGTCAATACAGTTGGAGAGTGAAAAGGTGAGAGTGGTTTTCCCTCTGCAGTGTCCTCTGCGTTCCTGTCCTGTCTGCTGCGGCGTTCCGAGAGGCGTTAGGCCACGGCCAGGCCTTCCTGTGATCTGCTGTAGTGTCATTCACTGCCTGGTGGGCTAAACAGTCTTAATTTACCCAGTCAGTGGGACATTTCATGGATCATCTAGTCCAGTTCTTTCAGTTACCTTTTCCACACTATATAAAATAGATGAACTTGGAGATGTCTCTGCTTAAAGGGAAAGGAAGTTGTTTCTAGCAGAAATCCCTTGGGTTTGGAGCAACACAGTTTGAAAATCAGCATCTGGTCTCCCTCCTCCTTTACAGATGGGGAAGTGGAAGGCTTGCAGAAGGGTTATGGTAGCAGGCTTCCCGTCATGGTTGAAAGACTACTGGATATAAAGGTGGGAGACCCTCTGGTGTAGGCTTTATCTCAATTAGTTGGAACATTGGACAAATTGCTTCTTCTCTTCG